TTTTTACATCCTTGGAGATGCCGTATGGATTGATAATTGTGTTTTATGTTTTTTGGATTAATGCTCCAAACTTGTTTCTGTTTTATGATAATGGTACACACTTATCATAACATATTAGATCGATCGAGTGTTGGCGATTCTTGTGAATCTGCTAAGAATAACTTATTAGATCGATAGAGTATTGGCGATTCTTGTGAGTCTGTGTTTTAGCTGGAAGTGATTGTGGGATTAAAGGGAAGAAACTGTCTAATAAACACACAAAAATGTGTATGGCCTCTAGGGGTGAGCGTGGGTCGGTGCGGTTCGGAGATTGATAAAATCTCCAGAACCGTACCAAACTTCGGAGATCCCAAAATTCGGTCTCCGGAACCGTACCAAAAATCGGTTCGGTTCGGTTTGGAGATTTTTTTTTCGGTTCGGTTCGATTCGGGACTTTTGGGACGATTCGGTTCGGTATGGTTTGGTTTGGATCTTCGGAGATTTTTTATTTTTTTAAATTATTTTTGAATGACTACCTAGTTATATTTTAATTTTTATATGCTTTAAAAAAAAACATTCATCAATAATTCATCATATTGAAGATTTTATTTTGAAATCAATTTTATAAGTAACTCTAAATTTTAGTTATTTATTTTTTATATGCTTTAATAAAACCAACATTCATCAGTACTTTCTCACATTATAAATTTTATTTTAAAATCAACTTTATAAGTAACTCTAAATTTTAGTTGTAACTAAATTTGTGTGACTAATATTGAAAATTTAAAATTCAAATACAATATAATATTTTTTTCTTAAAAAATATTTTTTAAACTTTCATATTATTTTAAATAATTATTTTATAATAGAAAATATTCAATTGTAGATCAAGTATTATACTAAGCATGAAATTTAAGTGAATGTTAATACTTATTACTATATTATATAGAATCAAAGTTGACATAAAATATATTAATAACAATCTAATGTTCTAATTCGGTTCTTCGGTTCGGTACAGTACGGTTCGATTCGGTTCGGTTCTCGGTACGGATATTTGTGAAATCTCCAGAACCGTACCAATTATTTTTTCGATTCGGTTCAGTTCGGAGGAAGTCAAACGGTCAACGGTTATTTTTTCGGTTCGGAGTAATTTCGGTTCGGTTTTCGGAACGGTTCGGAATTCTCCGAGTCTCATGCTCAACCCTAATGGCCTCACATATGGTGGAGCCCTAGCTAATAAAATATTCAAATGAACTTGCAAGAATAATTACACTATTACCTGCAGCTATCCTCCCTATATATAATTCTCGAATGCGCTGAGCCTACGTGGCTGCTTATGGTGCTTCGAAATCCTACTTGGCGAAGAATCATGCTTCGTAATTAGGTTTGGACAAATAATATTGATATATTAATAATTAATAATCTAGGTTCAGATATTCCATAAATATTATTTAGTTAACTTAGGTATTTTAATATCACATATACTAATATAACCCTTTAATTTCTTGTAATTTTACATAGTGAGTCACTAAGTGACTAATATATCCCTGACTTTTGATTTGTTTCCTTCAATTAGCTATTGAATTGTAAATATATTTTAAAAGTTGATAACTTTTGTATTTCTTATCGGTTTTACATATATAATATATCAAATTAATCATCTTTTGATGATCTTCGATTTGACATCCATATTGTATATATAGAAATAAATAAATGATATTTATATTTATAATAATAAAAAATAATTATATTTATAATATTTATTAGAAAAATAAAATTATTTCTCAATTGATATATTTATGTTTAATGTAGTTATATGTTGTAAGTTAAAAAAATATTATAATATAACACAGGTAAGTCGCACAAATAAAAAATGTCATACTAAATATATAATAATATATATTTTTATAAAAAATATTTAAATATTCAACTTTTTTCTCATTAATTTTAGATTATAAAAATAATTAACAAGCTCCCGTGTAATACACGGGAGTTGTACTAGTAATTTATTAATTATTCAAACCAGAATTGTGTCAATATTTTAGAAAAAAAAAAGACTATTATATACTCATCGTGTTTTAATTTTTATCTTCGCTTTCAAACCGGATTAAGAGCATCTTCAGTGCTCTCCCATTGACATTAAAAAATTGAGGCCACATGTCAAAATATAATTGATCCTATCTAATAGATGTCAAGTGAATGTACTTGACATTCACGTAAAATTTGGAACCCACTTCAATGCACTTACTTTACTCAATGTATTAGACTTTTTAAAATTTAATTTAAATAATAAATGACTTAATTTTATCCTTATTTCCGCCAACAAACTTTGAAAAGGTAGTTTGGCTAAATTTTTTCCCACTATTCCAAAGATTTTGGCACGTTTATTCATGAGTCAGTCTGTTCAATATACTGTTTGAAAGCAAACAGTGGGCTTGACTGGTGTTATGCCACGTCAAAAAAAACTGCCCCATGACAGAGTGCACTGTAGAGGAAAATAACAAGACATTGTGATGTGGCAAATATTTTTTTTTCCCATGACAACCTACTCCGGGGATGCTCTAAACGTAGCATTTGAACAATCAACAGTTAGAGTTTTCTTTCTTTTTTTTTTTTTTTTTTTCCTCGAAACGATAGAGTATATTACTCAAACCGAAAGAGAATACAAAGTCTTTACAATCCGAAGACAAACTGATCTTAGACTCCTTCTAACAAGAAGATAGGGAAACACACAGGTGCACAAAACAAACTAAAAAAACAAAAGCAAGAGTTTAGCAGACAGCTTTTGGCAATGACAAACTCAACAACAACAACAACAAAGCCTTTTAGTCCCAAACAAGTTGGGGTAGGCAAGAGATGAAACTCAAGAGAAGCAGTGGTAAGAGAAACACAAAAAGGGATCAAAACAAAACAAAACAAAACAAAACAAAACTCAAAACAAAACAAAACAAAAGGAAGAAATTGGAGCAAAGGAGAAAAGAGCAAAAGTCACGGTTTCGGCACGTTTGCTAGCCTCCAAGCGCTATATCCACCGCTAAATCCTTGGAGATATTCTAATTTTTAAGGTCTCTCTAAACTGACTCTTTCCAAGTGAGTTTATGCCGACCTCTACCTCTCTTAAGATCATCGACCCGCTGTAGAACTCCCCTACGCATCGGTGCATCAGGAGGCCTCCGTTGGACATGTCCGAACCACCTCAGCCGATGTTGAACCAATTTCTCCTCAATTGGAGCCACCCCGACCCTATCTCGAATATTTTCATTCCGGATTTTATCCCTTCTTGTATGCCCGCAAAACCAACGCAACATATGCATCTCTGCTACACTTAGTTGTTGGACATGTTACCCTTTTGTAGGCCAACATTCAGCACCGTATAGCATCATCGGGCGAATCGCAGTCCTATAGAACTTATCTTTTAGCCCTTGTGGCACCCTCTTATCATAGAGAACGCCCGAAGTTTGACGCCATTTCAACCAACCGGCTGCAATTCTATGCCTAACATCTTCATCAATGCCGCCATCCTTTTGTAGTATTGATCCTGAATACCGGAAAGTCTCCTTCTTGGCCACCACTTGCCCGTCAAGGCTAACGTCACCATCATCATGAGTAGCCATGCTGAAAGCGCACGTCATGTACTCGGTCTTCGTCCTACTAAGTTTGAAGCCTTTCGACTCTAACGTGTCCTTCCACCGCTCAAACTTCCTATTTACCCCTGCCATACTCTTGTCAACTAGCACCACATCATCAGTAAAGAGCATACACCACGGGATATCACTTTGTATGTCCCTTGTGGCCTCATCCATCACCAAGGCAAATAAATAAGGGCTCAATGCTGACCCCTGGTGTAGTCCTATTTTAATTGGGAAGTCGCTGGTATCGCTCCCACATGTTCGGACACAAGTCATCGCATCCTTGTACATATCCTTGATGAGGGTAATGTACTTAGATGGGAATTTGTGCTTTTCTAAGGCCCACCACATGATATTCCTTGGTACTCTGTCATAAGCCTTCTCAAGGTCGATAAAGACCATGTGCAAGTCCTTCTTTAGGTCCCTATATCTCTCCATCAACTGTCGTATTAGAAAATCGCCTCCGTGGTCGACCTTCCAGGCATAAACCCAAATTGGTTTTGGGTCACACTCGTCACTCGTTGTAGGCGATGCTCGATAACCCTCTCCCAGAGCTTCATCGTATGGCTCATCAACTTAATCCCACGGTAGTTACCACACCTTTAAACATCACCCTTGTTCTTGAAGATCGGTACTAAAGTACTTCTCCTCCATTCGTCAAGCATCTTGTTTGACCGAAAAATGAGGATAAAAAGCTTAGTTAGCCATACTAACGCTCTGGCGCCCAAGCATCTCCACACTTCAATGGGGATACCATCAGGGCCAATTGCTTTACCTCCCTTCATCCTCTTCATAGCCTCTCTGATTTCTACCTCCCGAATTCTCCTCACCAAGCGTCTATTGGTATCCTCAAATGAGTCATCTAACTCCAGGGTAGGACCCTCACTCTCTCTATTAAATAATTTGTCGAAGTACTCTCGCCATATGTCCTTGATCTCCCCATCCTTCACCAGTGGCCGATCTGACCCATCCTTTATGCATTTGATTTGGTTGATGTCCCTTGTCTTCCTCTCCCGAATCCTAGCCATCCTATAAATGTTCATCTCCCCCTCCTTCGTGCCTAGGCACTGATAAAGGTCATCATAGGCCTGACCCTTTGCTACACTCACGGCATGCTTTGCAGCCTCCTCGCTATTTTATAGCTCTCAAAGTTGATTGCACTCTTGTCAAGGTGGAGACGCTTGAAACATTCTTTCTTCTCCTGAATAGCCATTTGCACCTCGTCAAGGTGGAGACGCTTGAAACACTCTGTTGGTTGCACTCTTGGCAATGACAAACACATTGAGACAAAAAGCTTGCCCCAAACTCTTGGATCCATCATAGAGAAGCTGCAAAAAACGGCCTCCGGAACTATCACTCGAGTAAGGTGGTTTAGAAATGTATCTAAGCAATCATTGATCACAAGAATAGAAAATGGAAGCTACATACTCTAATCGTTTGTTTGTTGGTTGCATTAAACTAAAACGAGCGGATTTAATCTAAGCAACCGTGAGAAACTCGTGAAATCACAACAGAGAATCGAAAAATAAAATTAAGCACACCAATACTGAATGATGGATAGGAGAGACTTGGGGTTGAATATGTGCGATTGATAAATTAAATGTTGGGATCTATGAGGATCGTCGTAATTGTACAAGTTACAAATTTATCTAAAACTTAACCTATGCGCAGCGGATCTATAGGTTAGCATAGAAGACATTAAAGATTTTCTAGCCCCTAACCAATATTTCTATACCCATGAGTCAGAACTTTTTAAGGAGATATCAAAGATATTCTGGTTATGAAAATATCTCCCGCTGATAAGTTGGCTCATGAGTAGATTAGGTTGAGTTAGGACTCTCCATAACTGCTTGACAAGGAGGGCTTCATTGAAGACAGTTAGATTTTAAAATGTTGCAGCTGACAATAACGTAATTGTAGTATGAGTACCATATTCAAATTTTAATTAAAACAATTTCTATAAAGAAATAAATTTTATTAAACAATATTTGTATATTTATGTTTCAATTCAAAATGAGTATAAGAAAACGAAAATATATCATGCGGAGTAAACTATTAACTATAACTCAAATGATTGGAGAGAATTATGATTTAAACTTGTTTTACTCTAGATTATTGTTAATTTTACTTTAAAGTAGAACACTGGAATCTTTGTAAAGCTTTATCTTTCAAATAAAAAAAGATCAATTCCCTTTTTCTGTTTAATGAAAAAAAATTCACAGTAAATCAATTTCTAGGACCATCGTTTAGAGATCTAACATATGATGAGAAGAGAACTCATCGTCTCAATAGTATGAATACAGAAGTTTCTCTCAATAGCCACTGTTTCTCTCAATCACATTATTTTGTCCAGCACTGTTACAGACAAAGTTAATCACTTCAACTCTTTCACAAATTGAAACGAAGTAAAAACTACAACGATCACAGAATTACACGAAAAGGAAGAAAACTAAAACAAAAACGAATAGCTAAAAAAAATTGAAGAAAGCTGAAGTGGTCAGAAAAGTTTCTCTCTCAATCTGATCATGAAAGAATTTACAGCTGCAGCTTCCAAAACCAGCCAAGACGACTCAAAAAGTTCGTGAAAATAGTCAGCTCCCGTCTCCTCAGCCGCTCTCCTGAAAGCCGCCCCAAACGCATTGCCCTGAACTGCTCCGAGTCTTGGCTTCCCACATACACCCACTATCAAAACCTTCTCACGTTCCCTTACATAACAAACGCACACCAATGGCTTCATCCTGGCCCCCTTCTCCCGCAAGGCATCCATCAAAAAATACCCAAATTTTGTCAGAGCCTGCGGATAACACAACATTTTTGTATCGGCCGAGTCCTCGAGTTTCACCCACCTGAACTTGCTACCGCTTCTAATTGACCCCTTTCTTGTTATGGCCGTGCTTCCTTGTCTCAAAACCGCCCTCTGAACATTAATAGCCTGTCTCATTCCAGTTTCCAATTTCTCGAGCTTGTTTAAGGATAATGCATCATAGGCCATACCGAATTGTTTCGAACTCGATGAGCCATCCGACTCTATAGAAGATTCTAGAAGGGCCGTCACGCCATACACCACATCAGCAGCAGATACTTTTGCATTGTACCCTTGCAACAAGAGAAAGCCTCGGTAATAAAAATCTGTGAGCCCAAATTCAGGTAGATACTGTTCAAACATGTCCTTCATCCTGCGTTTGATCTCGACACTCATGTACTGAAACTTCTGCTTGCATTCTTCCTGAGCAAAGCCCATGCGGGCCAAAAGCAGCTGCATCTTTTTCAGTCCATTGTCGCTCCACGTTTTCAGTTTCGTGGCTATGTAGGATGAGCACAGCATTGAGTCGAACAAGTTCCATTCCTGCAGTAACATCAATCTAGGCTCATCCTCGTAAGCAATTCGTGAAGCGTGGGGCACGGTGACTTTTGTGCCATCTTTTAGTTGGATCGAGGCCACACGATCCAAATTCCCCGAGCTGTTTATGTGCTGCTCGAGTTCCATGACACCAGCCTGGTACCTCTCATCTGTTAGTCTTTCATGCACAAACTGGTCTGTCAGGGCCACACAAGCCAGCCAGAGTAGCTCGTTCTTGTTCTTTCTCAAGGAATGAGAAAGCTCGTACATCAAGCAACCGGATGGCTTCCCATGGAAAGTGCCCATGTAATAATACTCTCTCTTGAGTTTTCTGAAGAGCTTTACGGGGTTATCTTCATTTTCCTCCAGAGTTCTCCTCCTTTTCCTACTTTCACCTCTGTTATCCTCCTCCTCATCAGTTTCATTTTCATCCTCAGTATCTGAAAAATCTTCGATCTCATCATCACTATTCAAATCACTAGCATTAGCAAGAGCCGACACATCAAAATCATATGCTAAATCTGCCTGGTTCTCGTCATCTTTGGTGTAGAGCACCACCACGCCATCATTTTCATCACTCAGATTGTGCAAATGAATGGGTCTGTGGCTATCAACAACAAAAACACGTGCTGGCTGGCCGATCTCCAGATCCCTCCTTAGGTCCCTATGGCAACCCCAATTGATCAACAGAACCGTAATGGGCTCGTCGGATGATGAGCTAAGGTTGGACCCGGCATACTTGTGGATTTCCTTGAAGCTCGAGACCGGGTAACAGGCATACCTAATTGAATCAGATTCAAGGACGCAGCTTATGATTTTCAAGGCACAGAGTGAATCCACATCCGAGGTAGAGGGGAAGATCAGAAGAGGCGCAGTTAGAGCTGAGGCAAGAGCTGATTCCCTCAGCCGAGAGTAGAAAGACTCAATACTAAGCTCCCTCACCATTGATTCCTAATTTTACCACAAGAAACAACAAATCTCGCTGCTACTAAATTATGAGTGCAGCAGCTCTCATCAAACAGTGAAATTTTCAGATCGAGGCCTAAATTGAGGAAATAGATTGGGAATTGTTTCAGGTTTGAATGCAATTCAACAAGAATGGATATGAATTGAATTGAATTGAATTGAATTGAATTGGGGGATTTTGCAGATGTTACCTGAGAACAGCAAAGGAGGATTCCAGATGATCCGAAATTTGCAGCTGCTGTTTTGCGGATGGATTGGAGGGAGAAAAATGGTTTTGAATCCATCTGATCTGATGTTGTTTCCCACTTGACTTTATTCAAGATTGGGAATTGGATTTTCGAAACTTTTTGAATGACCGCCAAAACTTGGCGCTCAGACTTTAGAATGGGGCATTTTTTTGGGTGCGGGTGAAAATTTGATCGCTTTCTCACTCTCACTCTCACACTCTCACACACAATTTATAAATAAGTTAATAATTAATTTAAATTAGCCTTCACATTTTCCTTTTTCCCAAATTTTAAATTGAAGAAGGGTTCAATTTTGATAATGTAAATACTGCATTCAATTTTGATACTCCAATTGATTAAAATACTACAATTGTTTTGTAAAAAAAAAAAAAAAGGAAAACACTACATTTGAACCATTTTTGTTATGGAACCATGTGATAGCTCGACTTATGGAGTCATCCACATGTATTCACCTATAGTGTATTGACACGTGTCATGCAATAAATATAATTTGGACAGATGTCAATACATTAGTTGGTGGATAACTCCATAAGAAAACCATCTGATTGCTTAGAATTTTTGGCATTTGACCACTATTGGTCTCTCATTAAAGTTGATTTCTGTGTTTCAGTTGCTAGTTTTTTTCAATCTGGGCAAATGCTTAAAAGTACTAACAACATTCTTATCACTCTCATCCCTAAAAGTGTAAGAGAAAATAGCTATTTTCACCTCATTTTGAAGTCATGCTAAGTTTTTCACACCGCTCAATAAAAAGTTAAGTTTTCACCCCAGAAAGTACGAATAGATATGCGAAAAACTATACGATAGATAGACGACCGGTATGAGCATGGGCGAGAAAATTATGAGTTAAAGTATGCGACTGGTCTGCGACGAATATGCAGAGATTCGATGTACGATTCGGCCAATCGCGGTCCGTCGCCCATTAAATAATTATTTTTGTTAGGCGAATGAACTGCGACTTTTAGTCGAAAAAATTATTCTGCGACATACCAGCGTCGCATATTATTCGCAGAATTGGTGCATAATAAGTTTTTTTCGTATTTCATTCATCTCTCAGTTATGCGAGGGGGTATGCGAATTGCCGCATATTGCTCGCATACCCCCTTCGCACTTCTACTCGAAAGTGTATTTTTTATTTATTTTTTATTTCTTTCATCTTTCAGTTATTTCAGTTATGCGATGGGGTATGCGAATTGGCGCATATTGCTCGCATACCACCTTCGCACTTCTACTCGGAAGTTTATTTTTTATTTCTTTCATCTTTCAGTTATTTCAGTTATGCGATGGGGTATGAGAATTGCCGCATATTTCTCGCATACCCCCTTCGCGCTTCTACTAGAAAGTTTATTTTTTATTTCTTTCATCTTTCATCGTTTAATTTAGTTTAATTTTTTTCTTTCAGGTATGAGAAATGCCACATACATACAATTATTAGTCGAAAAAGTTATTATGCAACACAACTGCGACATACAAACGTCACATATTATTCGCAGAGTTGGTGCATATAATTTTTGTAAAATTTAATTTTTTGAAACCACTGACAGTTGGAACGGCATAATAATTTTAAAATTTAAATTTTTGAATGGTTTAGAAACCGCTGGCAGTTGGAACGTTACGGCTAGGCAGTAAAAGCGTGCACGCGAATTGTTTCATCCGTCTATATAAAACGTGTAATCTTCGATCCATATCATGTCACTTCTCTTTCTACCCATCTGGCCTCCAGAACTCTTTGTTAATGGCCCTCCGTTTTTCTCTTTTCTTGTATATGAGAAGCAGTTTGCTAGAGATATACCAGAATTACAAAAATTCTTTCTTCGACTCGTGAGGCAATTCTTTAAGATTATTGTGTCCGAATTGAGAACTCCTAACCTTCCGAATTCGTCGGAGGAAAAAATTCAACGAGCGAAAATCCCGCTATCCAACTTTATTAACGTGGCCCCCGCATGAAACATATATGCCGAGACAGCGACAATGAAGATCAAACCTCTGGGCCCGGGTATTGCCGGATCAATTGTGAGAAGGTTGAAGGTCGGCGGCCGGGGCGTAACGGCCCGGCCCTCTGTTAGAGGCAATGCTGGTCTCAACCTCTCGAGGTTGTGGTCGGCCAGGTTTTCCTGACAGAGGAAGGTGTTTGGTCGACGGGGACCTCTTCCCGAAACCCTTCAGAGCCCATCGGTTCAGAGTGTGGTGGTCGGAGCCGATCTCATGCTGGAGTTCTACCTGGAACTCCACAAACAAGCTCCACCTACAGCTCCTCTTTCTGGAGTCTGACTGTTGTCGTAGCTCGTCGGCTCCCTCGTCCTAGCTTTTGTTAGGCTAGTCCTCTTTGTAATCGGCTGGGGTTGAAGCGACTGTAAAAGCAGTAGTGTACGGATTTCTAGTCGATCTTTTATTCTGCAAAATACAAACATTGCATATTATTCGCCTAGTTGGTGCATAATAAGAAAAAAAATACTTTTGGAAATTTTTTATTCTGCGACACACATTGCGAAACACTTGTAGTATAAATGAAGAACAATATTTTTTTTTTTAAATTTTTTTTTGAAAATTTTTTATTCTGCGAAATACAAACGTCGCGTATTATTCGCCTAGTTGTTTCATAATAATTTTATTTAGAATTTAATTTTTTGAAAATTTTTGTTTAGGCGAAATGAACCTGAGACTATTAGTCGAAAATATTTCGCACAACAAACGCATAACACTCGTAGTATAATCGAAGAATAATTTAGTTAGAAAAAAATTGTTTTTGAAATTTTCTATTCTGCGAAATACAAACGTCGCATATTATTCGCCAAGTTGGTACATAATAAGTTTATTTTTGTAGAATTTAATTTTTGGAAAATTAAACAGTTTAGGCTAATGAACCTGCGACAATCAGTCGAAACAATTTCGCATACAAACCACACAACATTCTTAGTATAATCGAAGAATTTATTTAAACAAAAATTGTTTTTGGAAATTTTCTATTATGCGAAACAAATAATTGCGACAAATAAACGTCGCGTAATTCATTCGTAGGTCAACCGCAGGATATTCGCATACCCACTTTTTGTGTAAAACAATTATTATTAAACAATTATTTAAGATATTTTGTGTTCGAAAATGATCTGATAAATGCGATTCTTTATGCGACCGTCTCACGACGGATATACGTTTATTCGCAGGTCTTCCGCAGGGTATTAAACTGCGAAAGAGATACGAAAACTCAACCATTATATTTATTTTGTTTATTAAAAATGCATCGAAATTGCGAAAGTATGGCGCTTGTTACGCGAATATTACTCGACAACTGTTTTTTCGCATATTTTGTCGTGTAGTTTATTATTTAAAACAAAAGGAAAAAAAGAAAGCAAAACGTCGCATATACGCTACTTTAACTGTTGCACCTCTCAGGAGAAAAAAACAAAAAAAGGAAGAGGGGCAAAAAATTTAAAATTCTATCTTCCATCTTGCGATATTAATTCGCATAGTTAGAAGCAAAAGAAGTATTAGAAATTAAAAGAAAAAAAAGAACCAAAAATGATGAACGAGAACGACGTCATCGCCTTCTTAAGAGATTCTGAAGATTTCACGGATCAAGTTTTTCTCGTGGCGGCCGGCCAAGCGGGTGCCCTAACAGCGGCTACTGCGTTGATGACTCAACGGCTGTCGTAACGGGTATGGCGGGCTGCGACTCAGCGATTGAAGGCACGGGTCCGGAGGCCATCTCTTTTGGACAGGTAACTTCCATTTGTTGCAATTATTTAATTTAAGTTATTTAATTTCATCTGCTTTAATAGTTGAGAAATAGTTGTTTTTATTTGATAATGTATAAGTATTTTGATTTGAATAATTAACAACAACAACAACAACAATAATGAAACTATTTAGGATATGTTGTCCTACAAGAGACAGGCCTGATCGATAAATATGAAGGGCTGAAGATCAATGTTTACAGCCGGCAGTATATATGTTCTGATATCAAGAACGAGTTGGGCCTCGTTGAAAGGGCCTTGACTGCTTTTCAGGGCTCGGTCTTTGGTCCGTTCTTCCAGTTTGATGATAAGGCTAATGTCTCTGCAAAGGCAATGCATGGGGTTCTTTCGCGCGAGGTGACTTGTATCGGTCAGAATCCGAACGAGATGTGGTTCCGTATTGGTAAATGAGTATGTTGTGGTGACTGGGCTTGCTTTTGGATCGTCTGCGTTTTGACCTGAATTCAGCGCCTCCTCCTCCTCCTCCATCGTTGATTTTCTATGAGAAATAGAAAGGCAAGCGGGTCACTATGCAGCAGTTGCGTGATGACTTCAAGGCGGGGCAGTTCCTCACTCTCGGGATGTGATAGAGAGTGGCGAAGATGCTAATGCTAATGTACTTTATAATTTCTCATGACGACAAGAAGGCTCGGTATATTGATACCTGCTGGTCGGCTTTGCTTGAGGAAGACCAGATGTGGGAGAAATTCCCATGGGGGAGTTACTCGTTTCAGTACCTGCTCGAATACTTGAAGACGGCCCAGTACAATAAAATGAAATATCATATCTGCGGATTTCAATGGGCATTTCTAGTATGGTGCTACGAGGCAATCCCTGCATTAGGTCGTACATGTGTAACATGTACCTCGATGAGACATCCACCACGGCTGGTTCACTGGGAACTGAAGAAGGTCACACTTCCAAATACATTTTTTGACCAACAGGTATTATTTGATCCTAAACATTTTTTATTATTATTGGAATCGTTAGCAAGTGATATTCGAAATTATTTTTTAAGTCTTAACAATTTCTGATGTTTTTTCTAATTTTATGTTCTATTTTTTAAAATTTAGTTGGAGGTGCATGAGAGGCTGGAGCTGTATGAGGAGGAGAGTGCCGTGATGGGCCTCTCGAATTTGGATGTTGTTCAGGGGCCTAGATTTTTGCGACGGCTTAACCCGGCCAGTCACCGTATACAAGACTCAACACCGCCGTCCACGTTGGCTCTGCACCCGAGGAAGCGGGCCCGGGCTGAGGGGTAAGATAGTCCGATGCACCGGGAGGAGGTGAGGCCAACAGATG